CCGGGTTCCTGCCCTGAGCCTTCTGCACCCTCGGGTGCTGGGGAGGGGAAGTGGGGGGGACAGCCCTCGTGGGTGCCGACGCTGAATCATTTATCAATCTTCATAAATATGCAGATGAGCAGCGGGACAGAGCCTCTGCCTGCCGGCGTTAATTATTTAACGCGGAGGAGATGACGATGTGCATTGCTGGCCGCCTGCACGGCATGCGCCTCGGCCTTGGCCCTGGCACCCACCAACCCGTGCCATGTGCTGTCCCCTGCACCCAACCCCACACCCTCCATACCCCCAGGACCCCCCCCACCCCTGGGACTGCAGCAAACCAGGTTGTTTGATCCCTTTCCCCACCATCTCTTGGAAACACACAGGCCAAGCTCGGCGCTCGCTGCCATAAAGCCATGCTGCGCTAATGCGCTTTCATTAAGTGGGAGCGATCTAATGATAATAAAATGGCACATTTAACATTAAAACATTTAACTTGACTCCTAAGCGAGTGTGTCTCTCCACGCTGCTCCAGCTCCATCTTCATGAGGCTGACAAAGCTGCTTAATATGTTCCCAGGGAGCGGGTGCTCCGTAGAGATGTCTTGGCACTGCATGGCATGGGGAATGCTGGGATGCAGGGAGACAGGGATGCTGGGATGTGGGGAGGCAGGGTAGAAGGATGCAGGGGTGCTGGGATGCAGGTAGCAGGGATGCAGGGGTGCTGACATGTGGGGGTGCAGTGGTGCTGGAGTGCACAGATGGAGGGCTGCTGGGATGCATTGGTGCCAGGATGCTGGAGTATAGGGATATACACCAGGATGCAGGGAGATGGATGTGTGGGGGGGTGCAGCTGCATTGGGGTGTAAGGACATTGGGATGCAGGGACACAGCTGTAGGCCAGTGCAATGCCATGGGAGCACAACTGGAGCCCTGCACCTATGGTGCATCCTGGAGCACACCAGGGAAGCGGGCGATGGCAAACGGGGCCATGTTGTAGGATGTCTTCTCGCCCAGGCTCAGCTCACACAGCAGCTTCCCCACCACTGGTGACAGCTTGAACCCATGGCCTGCAGGAAGGAGAGGGGAGGTGAGGGGCACAGCCACCCCCATGGGCCTGGCCAGCTCTGGGGTACTGGGTTGTGGGGCTGTGTGCCCTTAGCTACCTGAAAAACCAGCACCAATAATGATGTTGTTGAACTTGGGGTGCCTGTCCAGGATGAAGTCTTCATCTGGAGTGTTCTGAAGGAGACAAGATGTGATGGTGAGGGGCCAAGGGCCTACTCCTGGACCCAAGGTGTGGGGGACAAAGGGATGACAAGGTCTGGTTTTGGGTGGGGAAGGGCCCAGGACCCCAGAAGCCTGGATCCATGCCCGGGGCAGGGATTCTCACCGTGTAGAGGCAGGTCTCCCTCACGGCTGGCTGGGTCTCCAGCCCGGGCAGATAGCTGCTGATGAAACTGCTCAGGAGGCTGACGTCAGGGCAGGGAGTACCTGACGGGACCTGGTCCCTCTTCTCAGGATCAATGGGGCTACCATGGTGGTGGCACACCTGGGGAACAACTGGTCAGGGTGGGCTGGTTAAGGGATCACCCCCCACCGCTGTGCCCTGCTCACCTTGATCAGCCCTGGGTACTCAATGGAGGGCAGCCCATAGATGCCATGGGGGGCTTGGCTCAGGCCCAGGGTCAAGAAGCAGGGAGTGACACTGCCCATGCTGGCACTTCCAGGCTTCTTCTCCCTCCAGTAGCAGACGTCAATGCGCAGGGGCTGGAGTCACTGCATTAGTTCCGGCTGTGACCATGCCACCCAACTGTGCCACCCATCTGTGCCACCAGCCCTTACCTGCCCTAGGGATTCCAGGAGGGGGCCAGCCCAGGCTCCAGCCGTGATGATGAGCCGAGGGGCTCGGTACACCCCAGCAGTGGTGGTGACAGTGACCGTGGCCCCAGGTTCAATGTGCAGCACCTTCTCCCCGTCACGCAGGGTGCCCCCGTGTCGGCGAAAGCCCTCAGGGTGCCAGGAGGTGAGTGTGGGGATGGAACCAGGGAACCCCCATCCCATCCCAAATCATTCTATCCCATTCCAAATCATCCCATCAGCAGCACCCACCTGCACCGACCGCAGTGCCCGGTCAGCGAAGAGCACCCCAGCAGTGCTGTCCAACACAGCCACCTCACCAGCTTGGAGCCGGAAGCCAGGAAAGCTCTGGGCCAGCGCCGCAGCGTCGAGGACCTGATTGGTAGCCAGGCTGCGGCGGTACTTCTCCAGCTCGGGATCTCCCGCCGGGCCCAGCATCACCAGTCCCGTCTGCCTGCACCCCACCAGCCACGTCAGCACCTCCTGCTCCCCCTCCCTTCACAGACCCCACCTTGCTTTGCCCCGAGGGAAACTGGGGCATAGTGGCACCGGTGATGCCTGGGACATGCTACACCCTGGTGCTGGGGCACCCCATGGCAGGACGCTGGGGGACACGGGCAGAATGCTTGGGGCAATGCATGGGAAGGGTCTGGTCTACAGCATCACGCTCTCTCCCCCCAAATTCATCAAGCACTATCAGCTCTGACCCCAGCACCAGAGGATCATTTAGATGCTCATTTCCTTAATGACATTTCCTTCATGGAGCCCCATAAATTACCCAGAGCTGGCAGTGCCTGCCAAGGCAGCCACATCCCACCTAGTGGCCACAACCCTCCGCTCCGCCG